GTGCTCTGAATTCGTGGATCAATGGGCCCAGACACTCACTTTGTGTGCCATCTAGTGGACAAAGAGGGAACTTGAGGAGTCCCCCAAACTGCTCACTGTGTCAGGCCCTGTGTTGGGGTAGCAGGGCCACCCAGCAGAAACCACAGCGTCTTGAGGACACTAGCAGTAACCAGGCAACCACAATATAAAGAAGTAGATGCAATAGAAGATGCTCCAGTGATTGCTTTTGATGGAGGAAATCAAGGGAGGCTTCCTGGAGGAAGCACTATCCAAGAAAAGGATGACCCAGCCCAGAAACAGAAAGGACGTAGTGAAACAGGCAGAACTAGGTGATGCATGCAGGATGCAAAATGCCATGTATTGGTGGGAGATGGTGAGCTGGGCTGACACCTATGTGAGGTATGTGTTCATGCAGCAGGTGCCACCAGGTGGGTATGTGGAGGGTCACAGCCCAGCCTCTCCCACCTGAATTCTGGAGTGGGCATGCCTGGAAGGAATGTATGCCCCCAGTCCCTTCCCCACCAATTTCATGGATGAAATAGGGATATTAGGACAATACCATGCTCCCTCCACCCCCATGGACCTCCAGCTGCTTGCAGAGGGTGAACCCCCATCCCCGCCACCTCCCGTCGGCCATCCCTCACAGCTCCTACCTCCCGACCCCAGCCCTCCCAGTGTCCTCTGGGACTTCCATCTGTAAGCTGGGCCATTCATCTCCACCTGTCCCGGGACCTGTCCCCCTCCCCCACAGCTGATGAAGAGAGAGCCAGGACATGGCAGAGCCCTCCTTCTCCTACTGCCCCTTCCTACCATCCTTACTCCCTTCAACCTGAGCACACGTGGCCCTTGTCTGAGGCAGCAGCCTGCCCCCGAGATGCACCCTCTCTGTAGCTGGCCCAGCCACTCTCCTGTTTCCTTCACAGAGGGCTTCACTCTCTTCCCCTCCCCAGTCCCATCAGCATCCCATATCCCCTGGGTTCCCCCTAGTCTCCTGGGTCACTGTCCTCCTCATTGTCAGTCATTTTCCCCTCCCCCCACCTCAGCTACCCACCCTCCAGGTCACCACCAATAAGGGTGTGACCCTTTGCCTGTCTACATGGAAAATCCCTTCCTCTGGACATTACCATCAGAAGCTCAGCACTGCCACTGCCACATCTTTCACTCAGTGAGGACTGTCCGCCTGCCCCTCCTTGCCTTGAGCCCCCTCTTTGTCCTGGCCCAGCTTGTGCCTGTGACCAGCTCTAGAGCCAGGCCCTTGCAGACACCGTCCAGGGGCCCAGGAGCCACAGCCTGCTGTAGAGCTGCCCTGCATCTCACACGGCCCTGTTCCTGTTTCACTGGGCTGATTCCACCAGCATACAAGCCTCTCCCTTATCCCTTCTTTCTTTTTTTAATGGCGATGGGGTTTCACCGTGTTGGTCAGGCCAGTATCGAACTCCTGACCTCAGGTGATCTGCCTGCCTTGGCTCCCAAAGTACTGGGATTACAGGTGTGAGCCACCACACCCGGTGGATTTTTTTTTTCCTTACCCTTCTTAAACCAGCTTCCCTGGACCCCACATCGCCTCAGCTCAGGCCCCTGCCTCTGTTCCCTAGGGTGTTGCCCACACCCCCCATTACCCCTGTATCTCAGCTCACTCCTGTCTGGCTCCCATCCCTCTGTTCCACGGAAATCCTCTCGCTCAGGTGGCCAATGCCTCGGGCCTGCTAGTTCCCAAACCCTGGGGACATCAGCTGTCACCCATGCCTCTTCCTTCTCTCCTGGTTCCCAGGGCTCTCTCCCGGGCTGCCCATACAGGATGCCACCTATTCACAAACTGTCAACCCAGGACCCTTGTTTGTGACCAGGGCCAGGAAAAGGCTTCCTACTCTGATGACATCTACGTTCACAGAGCTCATTCTGCCCTTTCCCTTGGCAAAAAAGAACCTCCAGGCCAGGCACAACAGCTCACGCTTGTAATCTCAGCACTTTGGGAGGCCCAGGTCTAATGATTGCTTGACTGGTCCCAGGCATCTGAAACCAGTCTGGGCAACATAGGAAGACCTCATCTCTACTAAAAATATAAAAATTTGGCAAGCATGGTGGCACCCATTTGTAGTCCCAGCTACTTGGAAGGCTGAGGTGTGAGGATTGCTTGAGCCCAAGAGATCAAGGCTGCGGCGAGCCATGATCATGTGACTGCACTCCAGCATGGGCAACATCGCAAGACACGTCTCAAACAAACCAACAGACGCTCCATCTTTCTCGTGATCAACCCATCAAAAATGAATCTAGTCCAGACAAACCCAAAGTAAGTGAGAGTCTACAGGATAACCAGCCTGAGCGCTTCAGATGTGACGAGGAAACACAGGCCCTTCGCAGGTTGGTGGGGAGCAAGGAGACAGGACTAGCAGGGCTAGTGCCGTCTGAGATTGGCTCCTCTCCAGGACAAGGACTTAGGACAACTGACAGAACTTCCATAAACTTTGCAGATTCATTAACGGCTTCATGTCAACATTCATTTCCCCTATTTGATCCTTATTTGGTTAAAATGTTAACATTTAGGGAAGCTGGGGGACCTGTAAATGGGAATTCTTTGTACTATTTTTGAAATATTTTTGCAAGTCTGGAATTTCAAAATGAAAAGAAAAAAACAAAAAACCCTACTAAAGCCTAGCGTTGGGAAGTAGCCTCTACCTCCCTATGCCCCGAGGCTGAACCTGTGCCTCCTCCGGGCTTCCATACCTCAGAAAATGGCAGCTGGGCCAAAAATCTAAGGGTCATTTTGGATTCTCTACCTTCTCACCCCTCACATTCAAGCCTTCAGCAAATGCTGTCCATTCTAGTTCCAAAATGTGCCTTGAATCCATGCACCCCCACCCCTCTCTCCCCAGCACCCCACTGTACTGGGAGCCACTGGGCTTTCTTGCCCAGAGCCTGCCCCCACTTCAGGCCAGCTCCTGGCTCCCTCTCCCACCCCTTCTGTCCTTTGCAACCCCCACCCCTCAAATTAACTGGGTCCTCAAGAGGCCTGGCACTGCCCATGTCTCCCAAAACTGGTGGGGCTTGGCTTCCAGCCCAACACTGCCTTTCTGCTCCTGAGACCTTCCCAGTCTTTCCCCATGGCTGTGGTTCCCCCAGATCTCACACAGTGTCAGCTCCTCTAGGGAGCTTTCCCAGACCACTCTAACTCATGGGCCCACCATGCCTCCAGTCTCCACTCTAGCCCGTGCTGGTTTTCCCACTGTATTCATCTCCTTAAAACTCCACCAGATTGGCCGGGCACAGTGGCTCATGCCTGTAATCCCAGCACTTTGGGAGACCGAGGTGGGCGGATCACGAGGTTGGGAGATCAAGACCATCCTGGCCAACATGGTGAAACCCCATCTTAATAAGGCCAGGCAAGGTGGCTCACACCTGTAATCCCAGCACTTTGGGAGGCCAAGGCAGGCGAGCCACTTGAACTCCGGAGTTTAAGACCAGCCTGGGAAACATGGTGAAACCTGTCTCTACTAAAAACAAAAAATTAGCCGGCTATGGTGCCGGGAGCCTGTAATCCCAGCTACTCAGGTGACTGAGACATAAGAATCACCTAAGCCCGAGAGACGGAGGTTGCAGTGAGCCGAGATCATGCCACTGCACTCCAGTCTGGGTGACAGACTGAAGTGAGATTCTGTCTCAGAAAAAGAAAAAAAAAATTCACCAGATTAGGGACTGGGCCTCACTATGACACGCCCCAGCATCCAGCCCTGCGCTGGGCACATGGTAGGTATATGAATGAACCACTGAGTGGCGCACTGGCTAGTGGTGCTGCTCAATGTGACCCTTCCTTCTCTCCTGGGATGTCACCCTTCTTGGGCCACTCTGGGTGTCTGCAGAGGTCCCCAGTTCTCCAGCTCACAAGGGCAGACCTGAAGTGACTCCTCTCCTCTCCCCTCAGGTCTCTCCAGGGTCCAGAAAGCTCTTGCTAGCTCTGGCCTCCACCAGAGGCATCTTTAGAATTCCAAAACCACCTCTGGAATGCCGGGCCTGTCTGGGGAATGCCAAGGCTGGGGCACAGGTGCAGAGAGAGTGGAGTGGCTGGGTGGGGCAAGGACAGCTGGCAGCATTCTGGCTGCAGCCTGCGCACTGCTAGCAGCTGTCCCTCCTGCAAGCACTGCCGCTGACACCTCCACTTCCTTGCAGCCCCCAATGCCCACAACCCTGAGGCGGCATCACTGTCTGGCTGCAGCTCTGGACTGGGCGCTCCCACTAAGCTGAGAGCTGCCAGGCCCTTGGGCCTCCGTCCCTGTCAGGCAGAGAGACTGGGCCACAGGAAGCAAGCCTCTGAGGTTCACAGGAACTGGAAATCAGGCCCATTTGGACGTGGCCCATCCAACAGGGCCCTTGGCTGGCAGCCAGGTGGCTCTGCTCTCTCCCACACTCAGTGGATGACCTTGACAGCTCCCTGCACCTCTCTGGGCCACAGAGTCCTCACCTGTCAAACAGGTGAGGGGAGGTAGAGCCAAGTCCGTGCCCCTCTGTCCCTGGGAGTCAATGCTGCTGGCAGGAAATACAAGTCAGAGGGCAGGTGGACTGGCACTGTGGGCCTGCAGGGACCCCACAGGCTCAGCTCCACTCCAGCCATGGCTGAGAGGCAGCGGGGGGTTGCTGTGCCAGGCAGCATCCAGGACCTAGCTGTGTACCACAGAGAACCCTCTCTCCAAGTAGAGGACCCCTAGGCTGCCACAGTGGTTGACCAAAGTGATGATCCCCAGGAACTTGTTAAAATGTAGGTTCTAGACAACCCCAGACTCCAGATGCTGACTCCCAAGAGATAGGGCCTGGGCATGGGGAGTTATAGAGGGCATGCCGCACAGCAGTCTCCAATCTCATGTCACCCGCCACAGAAGGCAGTGTGGAGCCATGGTCAGGTACCAGGCTCTGCAGTCACCGTGCCTGGGACAGGGAAGGAAGTGGCCCTTGGGTTAGAGTGGGCCCTGGGGAGGAGTCCATGGCCCCGGGACACCAGAGCCAGACAGCAGGCCTCCAGGGAGCAGGCTTTATTTGCGTCCCCCAGGACGGGGCTGGGGAGGGAGTCGAAGGATCTGGGGTTGAGGACATGACCAGACTCAGGTCCTGGGACCCCAACCCACTCCCCAGCCACAGGACTCGGCTGGAGTTGACGGCTGGGCATGGGCAGCTCTGGGTGAAGGTCAGCATCTACTCCACACCCTTCATGAACTCCAGGAACTCTGTGGAAAGAGGGGCAGGTATGGGTGAGGGATGGGGCTAGCAGGGCACGGAGGCAAGGGATCAGCCCAGCCACCCACTCACCGTCATAGTCAATGCGGCCGTCATTGTTCTTGTCTCCATCCTTCATGAGCTCCTCAATGTCGTCCTCCGTGATGGTCTCACCTGTCGCCTGCAGCATCATCTTCAGCTCCTCCAGATCAATGTAGCCATCAGCGTTTCTGTGGGGAGGGGGCCCAGGGTAGGGCTGCAGGGAGGGTATGAGGCAGCACAACCATGCCCCCTAGGCAGAGCAGGGACACTGGGAGATGGGGCATCCCTCTCCCCCATCAAGCAGAGGCTGCAGGGTCCCTAGGCCTAGAATCTGAGACTGCCCGCCTGTCCCCAGCTGGGCTTGAGTGAGGGTCAGGGTCAGAGGTCAAGGGTCACGTGCTCACTTGTCAAACATGCGGAAGAGGTCAGACAGCTCCTCCTCAGATTTCCCTTTGCTGTCGTCCTTCATGCACCGAACCATCATGACCAGGAACTCATCAAAGTCCACTGTGCCACTGCCTGGGGGGTGGGTGGCATGGCGGTTACAGAGGCCAGGTTGGAAACTGCAGGTGACTCAAGCCCGAGGAGTGGCCACAGAAGCCTGGCATTTGCATCCTCACACCAAATGCCAGGCTTCTGTGGCCATTATGCCCATTTTATAGATGAAGCAACTGAGGCTCGGAGGGGCTAAACCACTTCCAGCTAAGCAGAGCCAGCATCCCAGCCCCCCGCCGGCTGGGCTTCCTCTAGAGCCTGGGGAGGAGGGGCTCACCATCCTCGTCCACCTCGTCGATCATCTCCTGCAGCTCCTCAGGGGTGGGGTTCTGGCCCAGCATCCTCATCACCTTGCCCAGCTCCTTGGTGCTGATGCAGCCATCCTCAGCGCCCAGCACGAAGATGTCGAAGGCTGCCTTGAATTCTGTGTTCAGGGGTTGGGGGGCACAGTAGCCAGGGCTCAACAGCCAGGACCTCAGAGGGCCAGACCCCTGGTGCCACCTGTCAACCTGCCCACCTCCCTCGGAGACCTCTCTGAGATCAGAGCAAGAGGGACCTAGCCTTTGGTCTCCGGTCTGGGGTCCTCTTCCGGTAAGGGGTCCCCGCGTTCCCCAGCCTGGTCTCCCAGCCTGGCCCTGCTGGTCTCCCGCACGTGTGATAGGGGTTCTCACCATTTTTCTGCTCTTCCGTCAGCTGCTCTACCTAGAAAGGAAAGGGACTCTCAGGGCTCAGCCTCATGCACAGCTGCTGCTGCTGAAACCAACCCATTCCACAGGTGAGAGCTGGAGCCGGGGAAGGCAAGCTATTTCCAGGCCACAGAGCAGAGGTCTCAGTCCTCCCTCCCTCACCCCAAAGTCCTGATGTGCCCCAGCTAGCCTAAGACTGGGCTCAGGGCCAGTGTGACAGGTGGGCACCCCCTTCAGGGCCAAGGTGACCCTCAGTAACAATAGTCAGTGACCACTCAATACCCTTTTGGCCTGTGATGAAACTCAAGCTGGGTGGCCCAAGGAACAGCTGTCCCTCAGGTTGGGACAATAAACCAATGTGGGGGTAGGCAAGCTCCCCACTGTAACCTGACCAGGGTGGCCACTGGGCTATTTTTAACGAGGAACAAAGTTAAACCTGGTGATTGTTCTGGGGACTTTGGCATGCAGCGGGTGGGGCGGTGTTATCTGGCCCCCCGGCCTGCTAGTGCCGCCTCAGGAGCCAAAATTAGTCCCCAGCTCCGCCAGGCCTTGTATGGGCACTGGGTGGAGGGCTGCCCCCACCCCAGCTTCATGGACTCCCACAGGATAAGCAGGCATGTCCCCAGAGCTGGCTGTAGCCCTTCCCTGCCCAGAAGAGAGGGAGGCTGAGGGAGGGGTTCCCCTGGGGACAGCTATCCAGGCCAGGATGTCCTTGCTCTGGGGTAGTGGGAGGTCACCACCATCCAGGGATGGAACAGCATCTCACGTCCCTCAGTGACCCAGGAGGCTGCAGGGGCTTGGGGTGACCACTCTCTAGCCCTTATTCCCTCATTCTCACCCCTAGCTAAACCACCGAGCCCTGAACCTGCCAGGCATGATGGGGGCTGGGGCCGCAGTTCTCTGTTCCTTCTTCCTTGGTTCTCCCTCATGTCCAAAACTTCCCTGCCTCGAACTTCAAAGCCCCATCTCCAGCCCAGGACTCAGGCCCCTCCTCTCACACCCTCCACCCTCCAAAGCATCTTCCACCAGCCAAAGGGCTGGAGGGGGGTGGCAGATTGTGAGTGTGTGAGAAGCAGAATGTGAGGGGCAGAAATGGAGGTTGGGGACAGGGAGACAGTAATAGGGACTCAGAGAGACAGCTCAGGAGGAAGAGAGATAAAAAGAGAAAGGCAAAAATGTCCAGAGACATGTGGCTGAGAGACAGTGCCACAGACTACAGACACTTGGAAACAGAGTGAGACACGATGCTGAAAGCGGCGACCTCCTCCACCACCCTTCAGACCTCAACTCCCACCCCTTCTGCATCTCCAAACACCAGCTTCCCTTCAGACCCTGAGCCCCTACCCCTTCCGCATCCTCAAACATCAGAACCACTGTCCCTGTGAGGGCCTGGGTTGACGGTACAGAGGCTCTCTCCTGGGACCCCACCGCTTCCCTGGGGCTACAGACCCCCATTCTGAGCTGAGTGAGCCGCCAGTGGGCCTGCCCACCCCAGCCCTACCCAGCCCTACCCAGCCCTGTCCCTCACCGCAGCCTTGTAGATGTCATCCATGCTGGCAGCTCACAGGATAGCCTGCTGGGGTTGCCAGCCGGCCCACGACTTAAATAGCCCCGCCCCACCCCCCCAGGCATTCCCAGCCAGCCCAGCCCACCTCTGCGTGTAGTATCCTCCAGCCCCTCCTCTGGGCCCAGTGATGTCAGGCTGGCCTGAGTCCCTGTGTCTTCTGCCCAGGGCAGGGGGCAGATGAAGTAGTACAAGAACCAGGTTTCTTTCCCTCCTGTCCCTCACACTCCCCAAGGGACTCTGAAAAGGTTTCTGGAATGAATGAAAGCATGAGCCCAGGGCAGGACAGGAGCCACAAAGTAGTGGGCCCCAGGCAAGGCCCCTGCAACACAGCAGCGCAGGCTCCCATCCAACCAGGGGGGCGGGTGCTATGACCCCTACCTTCCAGATAAGGAAGCTGAGGCTCCGGAAGAGTGGTGGCTTGCCCAAGATAGCCCCTGCCTTTAACTCAGCCTCTCTGGAATGGGGGTGCGACGTGCAAGGAGGGGTTGGCAGTACAGGGCCCTGCCAAGAGAAGCCTCAAATGCCAAGCTCAGAGTACGATGCTGTGGAACTGGTGAAGTAGGAAGTCATCTTCCCCTGGTTTAGGACTCAGTTCTCTATTCTAGCACTGTAGTTCGTGGGTCCAGGTCAACCTGTCTCCCTCGTTTTGAACTCTAGCAGGCAATTGGCAGCACACAACCCTCCCACCTCCATCTCCGCCCTCTTTCGTACAGAGCCCCCTCTTGATAAACACGCTCCTTGCTTCCAGCGCTACTGCATGCCAGGCCCCGCATGAATCAACCCACTCCGTTGTCAAGGAGCCCCACAGACAAGAACTCTCCGAGTCTCGGAGAGGTTCAGAATTGGTCCAGAATCACTCTCGCCCTGCTCCAGCGATAAGCACAGGTCCTATTACCACCTCCAACCCACCTTGCCCTAAAGAGAAAGAGCCCAACACCCAAGTGATGCGCCACTATGGCCTCCTTTATCCGGAGGAGTAAACTGAGGCCAGGAGGAGCAGTGACTTGCTTCGTGTTGCCCGGAGGCTCGGGGCCTTCTGTCCTCTCTTCCCAAGAGACTAAGGGGCGATTCCCAGAGCGGTCACCCCCCGAGATCTCAGTTTCTAGCAGGGTGCGCAGGGCACCGTTGGTGGCGCCATGCAGGTAAAGATTACGCAAGCGAGCGCTGCGCACGCGCGCCGTGGGCGGTGCCTGTCATTCTCGCAAGAGGGGCGGGGCGAAGGCTCTGGAAGGCGGCCGGACTAAGATGGCGGCACGGCGCGCGGTGGGGGCGTGGGGCAACGGGGACCGGGGGGCGGTGGGACGTTGACCCCGCCCCCTGCTGCGGCCTGTCTGCGCCGGGCGGCGGTGGCGGCGGAGCCCGGAACATGGCGGCGGCGGCGCGCAGCTTCGGGCCCGAGCGGGAAGCCGAGCCGGCCAAGGAAGCGCGCGTCGTGGGCTCCGAGCTGGTGGACACTTACACGGTGTGTTGGGGGCGCGGGCACCCGCAGCGGGAGTGATGGCTGAAACTGGGAGTCCGACTTGGAGGGCTTGGTGAGGGGTCCGGCATCCGCAGCGGAGGAGCGGGTAGAGGGGTCTGCGATTCAGAGGAGGGGGCTGGGCCTCGCAGGTCCGGGAGAAGGGTTATTGGGGCCCGGGGAGGCGGTTTGGAAAGGGGTACGCGATCAGAAAGGGAGGCTCGGGTTGGGGGCGGCATCTGGGGATAAAAGGAACCTGGAGAGGGGGAGTGTCTAGATGAGACGGAACCCCTCTAGGACTGGAGGGGCCCGGGCCTGGAAGACCGTTACTGGCGTCCGGGAGGAGGACGATGGGGAGAGGGTCTGTAACGGATGCAATCAGGGAAAAGGGTCAGGCTCCGCAGGCCTTGAAGAAAGAGGAGCCTAGACCCTGGTCTGGCGAGCCTGAGGTCGTGGTTGAGATTTTCTCTGAGAAGTGCCAGAGCGACCTGGGGACATGACGCCTTGGGGGTCGGGCGGAGACGGGAAGGGAGGAGGGGTGGAGCCCAGCTATGGAGAAATGGGGATGGTCTCAGTGCTGAAGCGCAGGCCCCAGAAACCTTAGGAATCTTCGTGACTTTGGGCTGTGGGAGCGAGAAGGGGCAACAAGCTGCTCCCACACACCTCTAGGCTATGGGGAAGACAGAGGACAAATTGGGGGTAGTGCCCGTCTCTGATGGGGTTGGATGCCAGGCCTATGAGCCTAGTGGGCTGTCTGGCAAAAAATGGCCCTGGGCTACGCATTGAGCACCTCCCTGCCTCCTGCCCTTTGTTCCCGCAGGGTAGGGAGTGGGTCGGGGCCTTGGCCCTCCCTGCATCCCTGGCCCTCATCCTAACCTCCCCCTCTGAGGGCCATTCTGCTGGCTCTTTTCTTCTTTCCTGAGGGCAAGGGGAGGGAATCAGGCTGGATGGGAAGAGGAGAGGGGTGGATCCTGGAGCAACAGGCCAGCCTGGAGAAATGGCTGCTCCTCAGGGCTGAAGGAGGCTTCAGCTCTGTGCTGCAGAGAGGAGAGGGAACGGAGGCGGGTGAGGTCTCTGAGCTGATGGCTGGCTGGCCACCAGCTATGGGCACATTCAGCCAGAGGGCCATCTTCAGAAAGCTCTCCTTATTCTGGGCTGCGCCTCTCCTCTGCATGTTTGTCGGGGGAGGTGGTGATCTAGGTTGGACCCTACCATCCTCTGTCTCCGGGTGTGCCGAGTTGGATATTATTAACACACTTACCTTTTGAACACTTGCCGTGGGTCAGGCCCATGTACAAAGCATTTTACATGCATTGCATCGCTTGGTCCTTGCTTCTAAGATGGAGGAACTGAGGCTGAGAGAGAACTTAGGCTCCAAGTTACTTACATAAGTGACACATAAGCTGCAGCCAGGAAATGGCAGAACCAGCTTTTGAACCCAGGCCTTCCTTAACCTCTAGGCCGTATTGCCTTCTGTTAGAGCTTGGTTGCCACCACTCCCTCCCCACATCGGCTGCTTGTCCCTTGATTCCTGGCTCAGTAGCAGAAATCACAGCCATGAACCAGTTGAAAGAGTTGGAAAAGGACTTGCTTCCAGGAGGTAGTCAAGGCGCCTGGAAAGAAGTACAACAGAGAAAGATGCTCAGGCTAGAACTGGCCCTGCTTTACCTGCCTTGGAAGAAATGGCCTTGCCTGCAGCTCAGGCTGGCTTCTGAGTTTCCTAGAAGGCAGGAGGTAAAAAACTATAGAGGTGACTTGTGGTGATCACCTTTTTCTTTTCTTTTCTTTTGAGACGAAGTCTCACTGTCGCCCAGGCTGGAGTGCAGTGGCACGATCTTGACTCATTGCAACCTCCGCCTCCCAGGTTCAGGCAATTCTCCTGCCTCAGCCTCCTGAGTAACTGGGATTACAGGTGTGCACCACCACGCCCAGCTAATTTTTGTATTTTTAGTAGAGACAAGGTTTCACCATGTTGGTCAGGCTGGTTGTGATCCACCCACCTCGGCCTCCCAAAGTGCTGGGATTACAGGCCTGAGCCACCGCGCCCGGCCGGCAGTAATCACCTTTTTCATTCCTTACTGATGGATGGAGCCACAGGCTTGTCCCGAGTGCCTCCCAGCCCTAGTGCCTGGGCCATGGAGGAGGCTCAGAGGGGACCTGCTGCCCAGCAAGGGTCAGGTGCAGAGGCTGGCGGGCTAGGGCAGCCTGACTTTGGATCTGAGTTGCAGAGAGAAAGACTGATAAAGGATAATTGGGAAAGATAATTGCAGCTTTTGCTGCAGGAGGAGGGGGAGGAGGCTCCTTGTTGCCGTCTCCCTTGTCACAAGGACTGTTGGTTTCCCCTTTTAGGTTTACATCATCCAGGTCACTGATGGCAACCATGAGTGGACAGTAAAGCACCGATACAGCGACTTCCATGACCTGCATGAAAAGGTAACTGTTAAGAGCTGGAAGCATGTATCTCAGGGCCGGAGGGGGCCTTTAGGCCAAGTTTCCGTTGTTCCACACATTAGTTTTAGGGCAAAACAGGCTCCATGTCTATAGTTCACTTCTTTAATAAACTACTTTGTTAGTATAATTGTGTTCATTAGTGTAGCATGTAAATAAATGTTAGTCTTCAGCTCTAGCATAAGCCAATCTGCTAGGAGCATATTTGAATTTCAGCTTTAATTTTTCCAGTCCTAGCTTTGATACGAGATGCTGAGACAGTTTCCTGGGGAGGGGACAGGTTTGAACTTGTTCTACCAGCTATAGCTGTCCCAAAGCCTGTACTTTAATATCTGGCTGTGATTCCATCTTTTTCTTTGCTTTTGGAGATGCTGTCTTTCTTTGGGTCATTAGCAGCGTAGGTGTTTGAAAGACACACCACTGCCCTGATAGGTTTTTACTCTGGCTTGGAAAAGATGGCAGTTTTAGGGGCGAAAGGTGTTAGTTTTCTGAATGTCTCCAAAGTCTCCAGATGGAGTTCCTTGTCTGGAATTGTATTGGTATTTCTAAAGCTAATTGGATCTGAGGCCGTCGGATCCCAGGTGCACTGGTTTGGTCACTGATCTCGGTACTGCTGCAGAGAGGGGCTGTGCAAGTGCTGAGGAGTGTCTGCCTTCAGACTTCTTGCATTGGCCCTCCATAGGCACAGAGCCTCTTAGTCTGTGGTTGATGTGCTTATGGTTTTTTTACAGCTCGTTGCAGAGAGGAAGATTGATAAAAATCTGCTTCCGCCCAAAAAGATAATTGGCAAAAACTCAAGAAGCTTGGTGGAGAAGAGGGAAAAGGATCTGGAGGTCTACCTCCAGAAACTCCTGGCAGCCTTCCCTGGCGTGACCCCCAGAGTGCTGGCCCACTTCTTGCATTTTCACTTCTATGTAAGTTCCTCGTCGGGTTTTCACCTCTGTTTGCAAACCCACAACTGCCAAGCTTGAGGCAGCAAACCAGGGGAGACCTCAGCTGTGAGGAGAGGTGGGCCAGAGTTAGACCCTCGGTTAGAAGATGGAGGAACATCACCCTGGTTAGGAATAGGTTGTGGGTAGAAGCACGTTTATTGACAGATTTGCCTTAAATTAAACTGAATGTGGCTACAGAGACGCTTTCCTCCACCACAAGGCGTTTTGTTTAGCAAAAATGGCCTGTGGGTGTTTAAGCTAGGTTTCCATCCAGATGGATGGGGCTGGATTAGAAACAACTGACACCTGGCAGAGACTATTGTTAAGTTGTTGGTTCACAGCTCAAAACTAATTAAAGGATTAGTCTGTGATGGTGGAATATCACCATCTCGGGGCATGTCATCAGGCTCCGGGCTGCCAGGGTGCTAAGGCTGAGGGTAGACACCTACCTCTGTTGGGAGAGTGTGTTGTAGAGCAGCTCTGTGCTCCATCCTGGACAGACAAACAACTTTCATGGGTTGCTGGAGACAGAACGAGCTGTTAGACTTTAAGAAGGGTGCTTTGGCAGTGTGAAATCACAATTTTTTTTTTTTTTTTTTTTGGAGACAGAGTCTTGCTCTGTCACCCAGGCTGGAGTACAGTGGCATGATCTGAGCTCACTGCAATCTCCACCTCCTGAGTTCAAACTACTCTCCTGCCTCAGCCTCCCAAGTAGCTGGGACTACAGGTGTGCACCACTACACCCAGCTAATTTTTGTATTTTAGTAGAGATGGGGTTTTGCCATGTTGGCCAGACTGGTCTTGAACTCCTGACCTCAAGTGATCCGCCCACCTCAGCCACCCAAAGTGCTGGGATTACAAGCGTGAGCCACCAGGCCTGGCCAAAACCGTAATATTAAATAGCAGTTCTGTTATGAAAATTTATTCTAAGGAAAAACAGGCAGTAGCAAAAAGGATATATGAACAAAGATAGTCATTCTAGGATTGTAATAAGATAGTAAAGACAACCCTAAAATATAGGAGGAAGAAGTTAAAAAAGTCAGGCCAGGTGCAGTGGCTCATTCCTGTAATCCCACCACTTTGAGAGGCCAAGGTGGGCAGATCACTTGAGGTCAGGAGTTTGAAACCAGCCTGGCCAACATGGTGAAACCCCATCTCTACTAAAAATACAAGAATTAGCAGGGTGTGGTGGCGGCTGCCTATAATCCCAAGGCTGAGGCAGGAGAATTGCTTGAACCCAGGAGGCAGAGGTTGCATTGAGCCAAGATCATACCACTGCACTCCAACCTGGGCAACAGAGCAAGACTCCATCTCAAAATAAAAATCAAAGTGTACAGCCAGGCTGAGCACAGCAGCTCATGCCTATAATCCCAGCTGTTTGGGAAAAGAAAAGAAAATGAAAAACAAATCTGCAGCTTCACCATCATTTTCCTAGCAACACACCAGTCTTCCTAGCAGACACTGAAAAAAATTCAGCTTTCTTAAGCGGTATCCAGTTGTATGGCTGTACTCGCGCACACACACACACACACACTCACACTCTCTCTCTCTTTCTCTCTCTATATATATATGTGTATATATATATAATTTTTTTTTTTTTTAAACTGGGTCTCACTCCGCTGCTCAGGCTGGAGTGCAGCAGCCTGATCATGGCTCACTGCAACCTCAAACTCCTGGGCTCAAGTGATCTTCCTGCCTCAACATCTCAAATAGCTGGAACTGCAGGTGCATGCCACCATGCCCAGCTAATTAAAAAATTTGTTTTTGTAGAGTTTGAGTCTTGCAATATTGCTCAGGTTGGCCTCAAATTCCTGGGCTCAAGCAGTTCTCCCACCTCCACTTCTCAAAGTGCTTGGACTGCAGGCATGAGCTGCTGCACCCAGCTGACTATGGTCTCATTTTTATAAGAAACAAGTTGATATGGATATGGACATACTTGTCTAGGAAAACTCTAGGAGTAAGTTTATGTACACCAGAATGCTAAGAGTAGTTTTCTCTGAGTGATAGATTTTCAGATCATTTATGTTTACTTGTTTTCCCTTTATATGATGAAGACAGAGAAGAATCCACTCCCTTTTCAGGCTCACCTTGGAGTAACCTGTGGGTAATGGTCCCAAAAGCCCAGCTGTATTTAAAGACAACTTTCTTGGCTGAGTGCAGTGACTCACGCCTGTAATCCCGGCACTTTGGGAGGCCAAGGCAGGCTGATCACTTGAGGCCAGGAGTTCAAGACCAGCCTGGCCAACATAGTGAAACCCTGTTGCTACTAAAAATACAAAAATTAGCTGCACGTGGTGGCACACGCCTGTAGTCGCAGCTATTCAGGAGAGAAGCATGAGAGTTGCTTGAACTTGGGCAGGGAAGGTTGCAGTGAGCCGAGTTGATACTATTGCACTTCAGCCTGGGCCACAGAGTGAGACTCGGTCTCAAAAAAAAAGTACAACTTCCTCGAAGTCTTTTCAGAGTAAGACGGCTGAACCTTTCTTGGATCACTAAACAGCCTAGATATTTGGTGGCAGTGCTAACCTTGGGCCACTGAGCTTGTCAGGGACAGGTGGAAAAGTGGATAGCATTCATAGATGGGACCTGTATATATGCTTTGGATTTTATTTAGTGTAAACCAGCAAGTATAGGGTTAGCAACATACCCTTTTGTAAACATATTTTTAAACTTATGTGAGAAAAAATTTGCATTCCTTATGCAAGTCTTTCAGATAAACTTTGCTTGTTAGTATTTTAAGAAATACTGTACTTTAAGCAAGCTTTGGTTAGCCATTTAAGGATGAAAGTTGACATGCAGCCCTTTGACAGTATTAATTCCTTGCTTGAGACCTGTGCCTTTGAGGAGAGGAGGTCTCGCTGGCTGCCTCATGTGTGACTGGCTCTGAGGGTGGAAAGGCCTGGACTGCTCTTTTGAGAGTAGTTTGCATGAGATGGGCCTGGGGCCATCTACATCTGGTTCTGATTTAAGGCATACTCTGCTACTTGTGGAAGTTTTGACGTATTTGGAATTAGTATTATCAGACAGGTCCCTAGGTTATTTAAATCCCAAGATTAAAAAAGCAATTGAACCCATCATTGGATTAAACCCAAAGTTGAACAGCCATAGTACTGTCGACATTTTGGACTAGAGAATTTGTTTCTGTAAGGAGCTGTCCTGTGCACTGTTTACCAACACTCTGGTTTCTACCCACTGGATGCCAGTAGCACTTCCCCACCCAGTTATGACAACTAAGGATGTCTCCAGACGTGGCCAAATGTCCCACTGGGGTGGGGGGGCAAAATTGCCCCTACTTGAGAACCATGGGATTAGATCTTCATCTGGGGCCTAAAGATTTGTCAGCCTTTTCTCCATGCTGGGAGCGCTCTAGGAAAAGTTT